CTGGGGCAACTTTGGGCTCAGGTGTTTTCCCTTTTTTATTCGACCAACGACTTAGACGAATGGTGTCGATGGGTTGGAAAACATTTTTCGACTACGTTAGAATGAAAATTGAACGACTCTATGTTGAAATTCCTTTATAAATAAGAAAGTTAAATCAGCAACGTTAGGTTACGCAATAGCAACGGCTAGGCGCCCCCCGCAATATTCCGGTCACTGAACTCGGAAGCATAGATTCAAGACGTCGACGACATAAACACAAGCTAAAATAACCACAGATATTTTTACTGGCATTCAGTGGTCATAGCAATGGTTGTGCGCTGCACACTCGAGTCGCCACTTGCCGCGGATCGCAAAGTTAAACAAAATCATTTGGCATGCGCTAGGGTGTTACTAGCTATACTGTACTTGATCCCTAGATTGAACGAAACTCCGAAGAGGGTCACGACCAGCCTTACGTGGTGATAAATCGTCACCTTCCAGGCAAAGTATCACAAGCGCCATGCTACGTTTAAAAATTTCCGCCGCCATTTTATTTTTTTACAGAGAAATTGTTCAACGAAGCTGTCCGAAAATTTCACTGAATTTTCTTTGTGCTGCCGATAAAATTTAGTGAAATTTCCAAACAGATTCAACCAACAATTTCTCAGTAAAGAAATAAAATGGCGGCGGAAATTTTTAAACGTCGCATGGCGCTTGTGATACTTTGCCTGGAAGGTGACGAAATGGCGAGGGAGAATCTCTAAATGTTTACTGGGACAATTTTGAGAAATTCCTGTTCCAAAGTGGAGACAAAGTCATTTAAGGAGTATTGCTAAATAGTGCAATAATACACAGTAGTGCGGGAAATCAGTTACTGCTGGACTTGCGGAGAAAGGCGCGCTCGGAAAAAAAGACGTGATTTCCTCTATGACATGAATAACTAATTCAATATCAAAATTTGAACGTGTCCAGTTTATTTTTTCGGACAGGTTTCGTTTTTCAATTACCCTATTTTTAGGAAGTCACTTTGCCTTCGAGCACGGAGCTACCTGGTTTGACAACTCATCCCAAACTATTGTATACTCCCGAGTTGACCCACATTTGAGCTCATCCAATATGCATCTCATTCTTTTTGAATGTTCATCCTCCGCGGCTTTGCTTGAAATTAATTAAACTATTCCTAACGGACCGCACTGGCGGAGGATCCTCAAGTTGAGTTCAGAGAGTACAAGTTTTCGTTAGCGGGTCATAAGGTTACGGTAGAACCATTGTCGAGTGTTTAAAGACCCTTTAATAAAGAGCAATTGGGGCTGTGGGCTTTCCTCAAAGGTTTGAGAAGGCTTGAAATTGTGCAAGGGCACAGGAGCAAACGTCACTCGAATGACTGGAGCCGAAAATGAGTCATTGAAATGGACGTATTTCTGCCAAACGGAACTATGTGCATTAAGGCATGAGCCCTGCAACCCATAAGAACGTATGTATAGCAGGGCTCACGTCACAATGCACGTAGTGCCGTTCGGTATGAATACGTCCGAATGAAAGAAGTGCATACTCTAACTCTCGTGTGAATAGGCAGATTAGGGACACGACGCACAGTAGATCGAGTCAATTAGAGATAATTTTTTCGACTGAAACTGCAAAATTTGACGTTTATTTCGACGCATTTTAAATATTAAGGGGTGCTTCCAAAAGAGAATTCCACGAGAAAATCAATGGAGCCACTTTTAGAGCCTCGAAGTTTTGTATAAACGGAGTTGCAAGCGTTTAAAGTTTCCAAATTTTGTCCGACCTCTCCCATTGACTCGATCCAATGTGCGACGGTGGCATGTTTATCCGGCGAGAGGAGGGGGTGAGCGGGGGTGGGGCGGGCGGCGGGTGCCGGCGAGGGCGAGAAAGAAAAAACATATATGTCACAAAATATGGTTGTTATGAATCGACAAAGGGGAGCCGTTTCGATGATAATTATACGGTAAAACGGGGCAGCGCTCTAACAATACCTGTGGGCAAAAAGAAAAGGAAGCAGATGTCTTGCTCCCGGAGTGAATGCAAAAAGGGTGTAGATCCTTCACGTCCTTTAAAATCTTGAACTGGATCCCCCAGACCTGCTGACTGCTCGATTCAGCTCGGCTAGACAAAAATTATAGCCTAGTTTAACTTCTTCGCGAGTCGTAAGTGGGTGAACCTACTCGCGCACGCACCGCGACCAGACAAGCTCAACTGTAGAAACGCCACTCGCCTCTCCCGCCCCTCCGTATTCGTTTTCCTCTGTCTTCCTCTCTGCTTCACTCATTACGACACAGCCGTTCATTCATGGACATGGAGTTAGCGCCAAATAAATACCTGAGCATTCCTGCAGAAGAAGGGCCTCGGAAACCGTATTTTCATGCACTTATCGCCTAATTGTACATCATTTCGATATAAACCCTCATTTTGCCGGACATTGAAATAGAATCGGTTTACATAAAAAAACTGCGCAATAGTTGAAGATGTTGGTCCGAAGGACACTTTAGAACACTTTATATAAGCCCCAAGTTGATATGGATGTGTCATCTCCGCTGACTTTAATAGAATGGGGCACCTTCAATAAAATTTGAGCAACTCCAAGTTTCCACAGTGCTCCAATTCCATGCCCCTTAAAAGTTCCGGCATTTTTGCCGTTTTCCTAAGTTTTGGGCTCCGATTGCTTTAAAGTTCCGAAAAATGCAAAAATCAGAGACATTCCGGGATTTACAAAAACTTGGGGGAAAATTCCAGAAAATCTCAAAGGTTCCGGATTTCGGCACTAGTTCCGGAAAATGGGTGCACTCAGTTTCCGAGTTGGCGTGCTTTTCACTCTCACACAGAGGCGGATCCAGCGATGTGGCAACATTGTTTTTTTCCATTTAAACCTATGAAAATGTATCGATTCTTAGAGGGGCCAGGTGCTCCGACAAGAATCGATTATTTAGCATAGGTTTATATGGAGGAAATCCGGCGTTGCCAAATTGCTGGATCCGCTTCTGCTCTTACAGATTTAAATGACGACGAGGCGTGGACATTGGACGTTTTGAAGAAATGGGAGACATGTGCCATGTGCGGAAGGCGGCAAGAGCCGGTTTTAGCGGTGCAATGAACTCGCGAAATTGGCGACAAAGTGAAAGCCGGTGGGAAAAGGGAGGCGGGGAGGAGGCCGCGCACCACCTGATGAGCCGCGGAGATCGGGCCGGGGCCCAGGGGACGGCTAGACGCTGGCTCCCGGGCAGACAACGCGGTATGTACGAGTTTGAGTAACTGCCAAAGCGACGCCTCGCGACGCCCGACCCGACCCAACACCGCCGACCAAGTAGTCGACGACGCTGCCGACGACGCCTCACGCCTTGACATTGACGCCTGCCAACTTCCACTTGCAACTGCTCCAGCGTCGCGACGCCCGACGCTAGACGCGCCGCGCCGCCTCATACTCCCGTTTCCCGTTCCCACTCCCGGCGGGATTCATCCCTGTCGCCAACTCGTGCCACCGACTCATCTTCTTCATCTCACCTCCAAGGCATAGGTCAGTTACGCCATGCGTGGATCCAAGGGAAGGGAAGGCGGAATAGGGGCTCTTTCGCTCCCCCGTTTGCTCCAGAGTACCTGTACACGTGAGAGTATTGTCATCCCTGTGCCGCTCTCTGATTGGTTCATCAGTTTTAGGTTATCATCGAGCTTCAGACTTGGACAAATGTAAACAAACCCGACCCAAAGGAATACGTGTTATCGGCTGAGAAATGAATTACGATCACACTTAAAGGTTAATTCTTGGCTATAATATCCATTAAAGCTTGATCCGAACTCAATTCAGAGGACATACTCAGGGACTCATTCCCTACGTAGGTGATCTAACGACAAGGAGAGTATCCAAGGGGTGAAAAGCGGAGGGCACGTCGCCGTCGCGGCGATATAACTGTTCGTTCAGCCACACCACACGGCAACGAGGCAACAAGGCGCGTGTCTCGCAGTTGCGGTGTATCCGGCCTCCCCCCGCCCCCTTCCGCCCCGGCTCCCGCCACAACAGTCCTTTGCGCCTACGACGGGGACCCCGGACGACACCCCCCCCCCCCCCNTCCCGGGACCAGCGGCAGGCGTACACCCGAATCGTCGTCACCTAATTCCTCCCTCGGTGAATCACAGTCCGACTCAGTCGGATCTGTGATTCCCTCGAAAAAATGGCTCGAGGCTCCTACGGCACCGCACTCACAATACCCGGAGTAGGCCCTCAAAATTGACTCTTGTACTGTCAAGGATGAAGTAACACGTGGAATCGAAAGAAAAACAATGCTACGGGCTTATTACTGAAATTTGTAGACAAAGCGATAGAAAAGGGAGACCAAGAGAAAATTGAGCGATTCTATTGATGTAAATATTAACGCCACGTCGGCTAGTCTTCAATTTTTAGTGCGAGGAACACGAACTTTGACGTGATGGGAAAAAAGTATTATCGTGAAATGATACGTGCACTCGAAACTCGCACAAATACCAAAGTGATTTTGGCCAAACAGGAGGAGGTTAATTCAGCATAATGTCAGTTTGCCTTCAATTTTCAGTGTAGGCAACACGGGCTCCCTGGTGATCGAATAGTGGTATCATCATCGATATAAAGTCCGTTTAATTGGAAGCGGGTGGTTGTACTGGGCAAAAGAGGTCAGTAATAGATTAACCCACATGAGAGCCTACAATTTTCCCTTTGTCTATCGCTTTGCCTATCGATTTCAATACCATCCAGCAGACAACTTACTTTTTCGTATTAGTTTTTCTTTTTTTGTCTTGAGAATTTCTGCCTGAGGTAAGACAAACCTTACTGATAAGTAAATTCATCAAACATTTTTGGCCACATTTCCTTCGAGGTCCAAAGAAGCAAAAACATGAATATTTTCAGGGACACAAGACACACAATTTTGAATAAAACTTGAACACAAAATGTGCGACTTGGATTAACTTCCAATCTCAAAAACTTTTACTTTTTCCAAGAATATATAAAGGATTGCCAAAAGTAGAATGCTTACCTGTAATAGCAGCTAAATAAGAAAAGACTAGTAACACAAAATAAGGCAACGCCAAACGCATACTGCACGGGGCTGCTTTTAAGCCCGACCTGCGTCTTCGCCCTGAAAAAAAAACAAAAGAGACAAAGCAAATTAGAATCACCGACTAATGAAATAAAATACAATGGTAAATACTTACACAGAAACAAAAAAGCATGTTATAAACTCTCAAGCCCATTGAGCTAGTCAGATAACTAACACATGGAATAATATTCGGGTATTTACATTCAAAGGTTGAGTAATTACTTAATAAATATTATAAATAATGACTTTGCTTTTTACGATTGGCTAACACGAAGAGTTGTTGAAAAAAATTAAGCAGAAATAAAATCGGCGATGTTCAAACGAGTGTCGAACTCGCAAAATGGATTAAGAACTTCGGTGTCAGGATTACCGATTAGCCTTGTCAAGTGATCGAGCTTTTCAGCAATTCATTCTTTATCGAGCGCTCACATGAACCTATTAACATGAGTTTTCGAAGGAGTACAACAGAATGCTACGAATTTCGGCTAAAATTTCACCAAAACGCATTGTTGTCATTATTTTAAAACATAATTCACGAGTGCAGAGAGATGTGAAATCAAGTAATAAACTATTTTCAAAGCCAGAATAGAGGTAAAATCTTTCACTTGTGGGTACGATTTCCAAAATTTATGAGAAAAATTTGGAAGAAAATCTTGGCAACATCTAAAATCATTTTGACTGGCCGACCCCAAAACAAGGCGAAAATATTTTGTTGGAAAATAATTGGAGACCGCCGCGAAGAAGAAAAAGAGTATTTCCAGCCACACGCCACGTGTTTTTTATTTCTATTGTTCTATGAGGGTCGATGCAGAGGTTGCAAGGCCCAATCGCGGGTCTAGATTCGGTCCGGACGAAAGGGGGGGAGGGGGGTGTTCACGGCATTTGGCAACTGTCTGCCTAGTTACGGCATCGATCAGTAGCTCCAAACAGGCACCTTCACCTTCACCTTCACGAATTCACAACTTCTCGAGTCATCGACGTTGCGATCTTCCCCGGAGCCGATACCGAAACAGGTGCACGATACCTTCCCGGTCCCCACAACTTAGACAATGTTGCCACGTCAATGTATGGCGGAACACGCTCCTAAGTTCCACTTCTGACGGCCTATCGACTACTCGAGGTGTCGGAACATCAGGACTCACGCTAAGAGGGAGTCTACAAAAATTTCACATTGGATTTTCCTGATTTTTCTTGGTATTTCTCATAAAATGTCCTGATTTTTTACGCTGGTGAAGGAGGTGTGAAAATTGGAGGAGAGGGTTTTCCCGGAAACAAAATTTATGGAGTTTAACCAGACTAGGAACGAATTATTCAGTAAAATAAAAAGATAACGGCTGAAAACCCAAACTGATGTCTTCTATGTTTCTTTCAAGGCGAGTAGACTCATAAACAGTGTGTAGTTGAAAAACGCTAGGCGTACATGGAATTTTCTGATCCATAGCTGTATTTCCCCGATATTTTCCTGATTTTTCCTGAAGACATCAAATTCCCTGGTTCTTTCCGGGTTTTACTGACGGTATTTACCCCGGGGTGATTATAAAAATAAAATTTAAGTTGGCATCGGATAGCGGCGTTGAGGAAACATTAAAACATCTGCTCTTCAGCAGTCACAAAAGAGACATCTACTCGATTACAACGGTAAAAAACTAATGCAAACCAGCCGATTTTTCAGCATTGATTACAAAGTGTTGAGTGGAGACTCCAGGCTGTCTGTAATGCCGACCAAACTCATTTGAAGCCTACAAAAAGTTCCGTGATTGGGATTGATAGTCTTGAAATCTTAAATACTGCACGTTTTAGTTTTATGTCTGCTTACCTAGGATCGATGCGGCGTTTTGCCACCGTCTACTACAGTCTAACTATCGCCGATAAAAATCCAGATAGCATTCGATTGGCAAAGACGAATATTGACATTTAGTCTCATGTGCAGCGCCGTGCAAACCTCCCTCCCATAAATTATTCACCTGCATCGAAGTCGTCTCCTACTTATTTGCCCTCTCTTTAGTCAAGAGTATTGACATCTAGTGCATTGCACGATCGATTTCAAGCAAGGTGGCAACTCGCACGAACTTGCAAGTCAGTAAAACTCGCGCAAATAGAACGAAAGACGAGGTACAACAGTTTTAACTCACTGTGTGGCCCCCACTGCACAGCTGGCAAGTTAAAGGAAGATTCAATTCCGCACTGGCACCAGTCAAAAGAGCAAAACACATGATACAACTATATCGACTCCAATGTAGCCCTCATTGCATAGCTATCTACTTGAAGGAGCACTTGACTGCGCGCTGGCTTCGGTCAAAAGAGCAAGACCCATCATACAACTATATCGACTCCTATGTAGCCCTCATTGCATAGCTATCTACTTGAAGGAGCACTTGATTGCACGCTGGCTTCGGTCGCTGTATGGGAAGACTTAATGTTTAAGGTTTATGATGAGTATTCGTGAACATATTTTGCGTGTGGTCATCGATGAGTATTTGCTGAAGACACACTCACCAACCAAGCAACGTCGATGCACGCCAATAATAGTAGGGCCTAACATAACCAATATTTTCCTGTAAAGTTCATCAATCTCTAGCTCATTTGCGCAGATCTCAAACAACGAAGAGCTCTTTGCCGAATTCACGCTGCTACAGAATCATTTAATTTTCCCCCAAAAACGTACTAAACCGACTACTTCATTCTTTTTCCCACAAAATTCTTGGATCTCGATGTCGCCAATGGACCACTAGACAAGGTACGAATTTAAGCATTCTAATACATGTTTCCGAAACAGAATTTCACGGGGAACACGATTTGCGCAACGAAAATTACTAAAATCAACTCCTAAGGAAGATATTAACGTTTTTATTTCACATTGGTTATGAGGAATTTGAAAGGCCCGCTCACAAGAAACTCAAAGCTCTACGTAAGTCAAATCGCGCACCACAACGGTTTCAGCGAGCCTCTCAATCGAGCAAACGTTCATTTCCCACCAAGTGTTGTTCAAACTATAAGCAATTTGCTATAGCTGAGCCAAAGCGTCAAGATTGAGGTTGCCAGATTTGTATATCGCAGAGACTGTCATGATGACGTTTAGCGCGCGATGTGAATCACGTATAGCATTGAGTTTTCATGAGCGGGTGGTTTGAATTCACGCACCGAGAATCATTTAATTTCTTCGTGAGGAGTTGATTTCGGTAGTTTTTGTTGTGCGCATCGTGTTCTACGTGAAATTTTGGTTAAGAAACCTGTATCAGAATGCTGAAATTTGTACCTTGTCTAGTGGTCCATTCATCGATAAATCTTCAAGTACGGCTTCCACGACCGGAGTTTATTTTTTTCGGTGTCGGTTCGATGAGTAGATCCGGCAGCAATGAGCGAGCTTGGCGGTACTCGCAAAGGGGATTGTGGGGGGGGGGGGGGCTGGGTACCGGCGCAACACAGCGCACCAAGTCACGTCACACCGGGACAAGGCATCGGGCGCTCAGCTATGCACTCCGGGCTCAGGACTCAGATGACTTGAACAAATTGATATAATTCTCCCATAACCAATCGCACTGATCTTTATCCCGGCGGTGGTAATCTTTTGTTTGTTTGGCTCCGATACGACTCCACCGCGAGCAGTGGGAAAAAACGAAAATCAATCGATTAGTCATTACGTACACACACCTCCCCCCACCACCACCCCTCACCTGAGTCACCGCCCTTCCCACACTTGGATCCACCGATGGGACTCTCGCCTTCGAGTCGAAAGCCGCTTCGTAGGAATCGACAGAAAAAAATAGGGGGAGGGGAAAAAAAGAACTTTTCGTAGAACTTAAAAAGTTAAAGACGGAAAATTGGGCCCTGATCGAAGGATTCCTGAGTTCTACTCGGCTGGAACCACGTATGGTTACAGGTCGTGAGAAGAAAGTTCTACGGTTGTGGAAAATACGGGTGAAGATTGAACAGGCCAAAAAATTACGGATTTATGACATTTTAATACGTGAAGGTAACGGGTGTGTGAACAATAATAACTACACTGTGTGCCCATCTTCAGGGAAATGAGTTCAATCCTATTGTTAAAACGGTGGAGGAACATTGCGCGTTTCATAAAACACGAATTTTCCGCGAAATCCGAACTGGGAAAAGCAAAATGAGCATTGGAGCTGTGAAAAAACTGGGCAAATCAGCTGATCCATCATCATCAATTGATGATCGGCAAGCGAGCACTTTCCTTCGTAGATGAATTTGAGACGCAAACAAAGCTCAATTGTTCCGACAATTTTAAGAAAAGCTATCGGTGAGAGTATTCTAACTCAAGGGTATCGAATTTAGAATGTTGCTTGGCTTCATACAAGATGTGATTCGGATTCTTTCAACTGATGTCCGGCAAAGCAGCGAGGTTAAGACTTTAAAAAAAAGAGGAGAAGGTGATTGTTTGGTTAGGAGAGGTATTCTGCCGAGCTAAGGAAGAACGCCGTATGAACATTCGAGAGTTGCCAAATTTCCTCCGATAAACGTTCATTTTTTAGGAAAGCTATGAATACTTTTCCTTGAAATTTCTAGGAGCTTCAGGTGAAAGCGCGCACAAAATCATCTGAAAAATGAGAAGGAAATTATTCATACGGATACCAGGAAATTCGTGTTATATCAAAGGAAATTCGGCAACGCCTGAAGGCTCATACGGGGTTTTTCCTTAGCACGGGAGTATTCGAGACTCGACCAAGCGCCACTCGCTTGCAACTCATGAATGAATGAATGAAAATGCGATCTTCGTAGGGGCGGACGCAATACAAATGGTTGGCATTCTGAAACATGGCGCGACACGGGACACGGCGAAACTGCAGAAAAATGCAGGAGACAAAACCAGATTGAGGAGCTTACGTCCGAGTGGATGAACCGCGGAGTGGGTGGAGGGGGCGGGGCGCGGAGAAGAGGCAGAATTTCAAGAATTTGAGCCGACAGCCGCACGTGAGTGACTCGGGGGGCGGAAGGACACAAACGAAAGGGGGTCGCGGGCCGGGGGCCGCAGGGGGGATTTAAATAATTCATTCATGAGGTATTCTGCGCATGCG